AATTGTTAGGATTTGTGGAAGCCTGAATCGACAACCAAAACGGTTTACAAAGAGGGGTCGAAACGATTTTTGTGTTTAGGGAGTAAGGAGATTGAAATATAGAAAATTGTACAGTGATTTATAGTAGTTCGACTTCTCAACAAGTTTACATCCATTACCTTAGCTCCTCGCCAAGGATTTTCCAACAAATTCACTAATTTGTTCTTTCTTTTTCAAGGTAAAAAAGATAACCTTTATAAACTCCCTAGTTTTTCACGGGCTAAACTATAACATTTCCCTAGCTTTTCACAAAATCAGCTATAACATTTCCCCTTTACAAAAGGATAAAAGAAGTAAATAAATAAACCTCTCAAAGGTAGGTGTTTACAAGAATTAAGCTCACTAAAACAATATTTACAAGAGAGAATGAAAATAAGAATGAAAAACTTCTTCTATTGTGTTTGAATGCTTGGATAGATATTCTCTTACTTCTTCAAGTGTCCTCAGCTTGTATTTATAGTTTAAAATAAGTTTGAAGTCGTATAGAACCATTGAGGATGTTTTGGAGTCGTTTGGGGATTATTTTTTTGCAAAACAAGGCTGCCCAGAACAGGGGGTATCGGTGCCCCTTCAAAGGGTATCGATACTACCTTTATTAATTTCAAATTTACTAGTCGTTGCTAGCCGTTGGAGCCTTGTAGTATCGATACTACCTAAGGGGTATCGGTACTACTTTGCACTATGGTATTGATACCCTTGCATGGTATTAGTACCCTTTTTGCATTCGATGTTTGAGCCTTCATAGGGGTATTGATACCCATTCATAGGGGTATCGGTGCCCATTCATAGGGGTATCGGTAATTCTTAATATTTTTGCTCAAATTCGAATTTAATGGACTTTGAATTATTTTTGAAACCTTTCGAAAACTTTGAATAAATTCAATTCAAGTCCAAAATCATTTTGCCTTAATTTGTTATATCAAAACATAGTTCTACAGTTAATTTCTTATTTTGTTATAAATAAATATTAACATACTAAGCTGCGTCCAATAATGTTATTTTTAAGAAACAAGTAGGTTGCAATCTACAATATTAAAGTTATGTTTAATGATATCAGTATGATTTAATATATTATGTATCTTTAGATGGAAATTATTTTTAAAATAAATATTGATACTACTATAATCTAATGGTCGATACTTTAGCAAATATCAATATCATCTATGATGTTAGATATTTTATCATTTTAGAAATTTATTAATTTGAAAAAAAATTGAAATGTTAAGATTGAAAAGGTCTTATTTACAAATTTCCATTAAAATATCTTAGTAAAAATATCGATACTTAGTGTAGATGTATGAAATTATTATATACTTAGTGTATATGTATCAATATGTATTCAGGAAAATTATTCATACCTGATATTGATACTTTAGAATTTTAGATTTTTGATGATTGTTATTGAGACTTTAGCATTTGAAAAAATTGATGAATGTTAAAATATTGATAATTGATATATAATGTATCAATATTTTTGAAAATTTTGATGAATTTCACCCCTCACATCAACCTATAAGTATTAATACTTATAAATTATAAAAAATATTTCAAACAGTTAAGTTGTATATATTTTACCGTTTACATTATTATTAATCTTTAAACAAATCTGTAGCTAGTTTAATGAATAGGTAGTACTTATTTAACGCAATAGATAGCGCCTATTTATCATAATAGGTAACGCCTATTTTATTTTAACATTTGCATTATTATTAACCTTTAAACAAACCGGTAGCTAGTTTAACGTAATATGTAACATTTATTTGACGTAATAGGTAGTGCTTATTTAATAGAACAAGTAGCCCCTATTTTATTTTACCATTTACATTATTATTAACATTTAAACAAATCTGTGCTAGTTTAACGTAATAGGTAGCGCTTATTTAACGTAATAGGTAGCGCCTATTTAACATAATAGGTAACGCTTATTTTATTTTACCGTTTACATTATTATTAAACTTTAAACAAACCGGTAGCTAGTTTAACATAATAGGTAGCGCCTATTTTATTTTACCGTTTACATTATTAGTAACCTTTAAACAAACTGGTTGGTAGTTTAACATAAGAGGTTGCGCCTATTTTATTTTACCGTTTACATTATTAGTAACCTTCAAACAAACCGGTAGATAATTTAACATAATAGGTATGGTCTATTTTATTTTAACTAGATAAGTTTTAAATATAAGTATCAATACATACAATATTGGTATGGATACTTTTTCAAGACAATAGTTTGACATAACTTATTGTCCATACTTTTAGAGTAAGTACTATACAGTTTATGTTTAAAAAAAATTCAATAGTTCTTTATGTTTTCCACCTACAACATTAATTTAATAACTTCATTATACAAAAAATTATTCGATTATTTAGACCTTATTATCTCTATTATTTCGAATTTAAATATAACAATTTTAAATAAAGATAACAATAAATATGTAATATCTATGTTTATTATATCTAATTTAATAATAATATATACCGTAACATAAAAATAAATCATTAGACGCTTATAATTATTAAATTAATATCTTAAAACTCACTGAAAAGGTAAACCTAAATTAATGTTTTCCACAGTAAAATAAGTATGGATAATTATATATAGGTATCAATACATATTTATAATCAAAGTTTACCAGTTACCAAATTTTTTAAAAATTCTTCATGTTTTTCATCAATAGCATTATGAGTCTATTAATATTTTCAATAACATTTTACCAACTTTATTAATTATCTGATTAAAATTAAAATCACGTTATTTTTTAACCTTATATTAATTTACATTTCCTTATATAATTCCCTCCAACAACTCCCCTAACTGCCCCACTTTTCATTGCATGGCACGTAGGGATGACAAAAAAATACGAATCCGACGGGAAAAATCGAAAACCGAATTTAACGGGTCGGGTTCGGGGATGATAAACGGGGACGGGAAAAATTCGTTTATGTTAAACGGGGACGGGGATGGGGACGGGTTTGATAATCCCCGCCCCGATTACCCGACCCAATACCCGACCCGATAAATATTAAAAATAATTATTTTTTTATATATAATATTAATAACATATTTTAAATTAAGCCTTAAATATTTTTTATTATTTTTTTCACCCCATACTGACCCACTTTAAAAAATCGTCCCCGCTTCAATTTCTAGAATTTACCTCAATTTTCGCTGTCTCATAATATTCTTTTTTTCTTTTAATCGTGAAAATAGTGCTTACACTTCTTGTTTGCAATCACGTGTGAACCTTTAATATCTTTTAATAGACAAACATTGTCTAGTTAAATGGGAAAAGTCTGGTTGGTTTGGTGGTATTATGCCACTTCCAACGAACGTGTACTTGTTGTAGGGTCTTCGTCCAGTACACCATTACACACCTGAAGCCTACCACTAGCATTGGCAAGCTGGAAATTATGTCCAGCAAAATTTAAAATCAATGCAACTTGCATATTGTCGTCGTCTCTTCAACAGCAACCCTCATTTTCATATCGCATTCGAATAACCTCATACAAGCTGTCTCCATTACACAAGCTTTAACGTTCCTCTGACAAAGCGAATCATGTGAATTAGCCATATTAAAATCAGCCTCAGGACCTATACCAACATCACGTTCTTCCCTAGCAAATGGAACAACAGCTGCTCTCTAGTATTAAATTCAAAAATTCTAAAAAATTTTGGTTAATTCAAAAATTAACCGAATTAACCGAAATTTATTCGGTTCGGTTAATATTTTCGAAAAAAAATTGGTTTGATTAACGGTTAAAGAAAAAAAATTCAGTTAATTCGGTTAATGGTAGTTCGGTCGGTTCGGCCACCGAATTAACCGAATGAACAACCCTACCGATACCCGTTTAAATAAACGTTTATGCTAAACGGGGATACCCGTTTTCCCGTTGTTTTCTCCGATTACCCGATGGAGATCTCCGTTTAAATTTTCGCGATTTTTTAAACGTGGATAGGTACCGATTTTTTAAACGGGGACGGAGACGGAGACCAATACTTGACCGAACCCGGCCCGTTGCCATCCTAATGGCACGCCGCCCACGTTCTGCATGCATCATCAGATTGCGCATCATTCGAAACAGAAGGTAATGATCTAGAACACAAAATCAGCCATCAATTGATTCACATGTAATGGCGGCTCAAATGAGAGAATAAAGCAACCCAAATGCAAAGCAACCACGTTTAAAATAATAAAGATAAATATTTATCCCAGTTTCTCGTGATTTTTGTCAGTCTCCATTATCATTTTTTAATATTAAAGATATAATTAATAATTATACCACTAGAGGGCCATAATGACTTTGAGACACCATGTTTAATCCCATATACAGGACCACCACGATGACATAATTTGCCGCAACGTCCAAAAGGTATAATATAAAGAAATGTTTATTTTTTAATTCGAATAGTCCATTTAACTTTTAATTTTTTAAATGTTTTAATTTAACATTTTATTTGGGACATAATAATTTCTGATTAAATATCAAAAAGTAATAAAATGACATTGTCACATGCTTTTACATATAATATATAATACATCATCATTTTAAATAAATAATGTGTCATTTCATCACATTTAACATATAATATAATAATTTTAGACAATAGTAGCATATAACATATAATCAATTTAGACATATTTTATGTGTTATATCAAATTTTGAACCTATAAAATGTGTCACTAAAGTATTTTAGACACAACTTATTATATCAACGAAACACATTGATTTTTATTAACTAATAGTTTCCTTCTAACCAAGAAGATTCTATTCAAAATGATATTTTGAAAGTACAAATATTAAAAATTATTGCTCATTTTATAAAAAATTATAGATAAATTTAGACTAAAAAAAACTAACTAATCAAAACAGAAATACAAAAAATAAACAAGGGATTAAATAGATAATTTGCCCTTTATTAAAACATGAAGAAGATGCAACACGTACAAAGCAGTCCAAATATGAAAGAAACCCAACATAACTAAAAACCCACATAACTAAAAACCCAAATATTGAAACCAGTTGAATGTTGTAATCTTAGATGATGAAAGAAAACCAAAGATTCAATGGAAAGAAGCAGTTGATCAGAATTCATAAAGAAGACTTCCAAAGTGCTTCATGTGAGAAGTCTCTAAACGTATAACCAGCGTCAAGCTCCCATCACCAGTTGAGCTGGGCAATATGTACGACTTGCCCTCATGGACGATATTCGCAGGCCTCATAAAAACAGGACGACCCCAACCGAAATCCGCATCGTGGATCGGCAACCACATCCAGCTGTTGATACTAAGGTTCGGGCACCGCATAGTTTTTGATCCTCGCCTTACGCTTTCCACATCCGCGGTTGTCTCGATCAAGTCGATACCCGATCGCAGATACTCATCGTTAATTCCTCTCAATATTTCGTGAATCCTATTAACCGTATCAAAAAACGATTCAGATTGGATTTCACCGGCCAAGGCAACAGGTGCCGCGTGGAAGATCACGTTGCCGAAGTAACCGGGGGGAAGTGGCGGATGCAATCTGTTTCGGCCATCGATCGGTATCGTTAACTTGAGTTCTTGGTCTTGGACGAGGTCTCGTGCTTTTGTAGCACAGCGCCATATATGTGCTGTTAAGATGCTGTAGGTGCTGTACTTGGTCTTACCTGAAGTTTCATTCACTTTGTCTTTAAGGGCCTTGACTTGCTCGGCTGTGATCTTAAAAAGGGATACAGTTGAAGGTCTGGGTGCTTCAGGATTTGAAATTGTTTTCAAAGAAGGAGATGGTTCGAATTCGACGTGACGAAACTTCGGAGTTGCGGGGTCTCGGGCTCGAAGAAATGATCGATCGAGAACCGGTGCAATGGTAGGACACATGCCTCTAGCAGTATCAGCCCAACTGTTGATGAAATGAAGTGCAGATAGACCATCTGCCAGGGTATGCTGAAAAGTAACTCCAATAGAAACTCCTCCACATTTGAAAGCAGTGACCTACAAATATCCATTTACCATATCCAACAAGTCATTTAGGGTTCAAATAATTTTGGGTTTAAAGTCATTTTGTTAAATTTTTGTACCTGTAATCCTAGAAGAGGATAAGAAGAAATCCCACCAGAGTAATCGAACTTATGAACAAGTTGAGGAACCTTTGAACCATCTGTGAAATCCTTAACTAAATCATCCATGACGGAACTAGTTTCAGCCTCGATGAACAACACTCCCTCGCCATTGCAGACTATTTGGAGCCTACCGTTTTCATCGTTCCCCAACCGGCCGGCTACTGGATAAAACGACACCAGAATCCGACTTAAAGCCTCCTTGAGCACTTTGGTATCGAAAAACGTCGAGCTACCATTCGGCTTGTAGAAGTATACCGTCGAAATATGATATACGGTCATCACTAGGTCTATGTTCGAGACACATAAGTTTGTTTTTGGAGTTTCTTCGCATGGAGTTACCATTGTCGTCTCCTTTATAGTAATCTCCATCGCTGTATTATACAGATCAGCCTACAAACAATCAAAGAGCACAACAATTACTTTCATGAAACAAAAGTTGAGAATGCCATGCATGCAAAGGAAGTTGAAGCTTATAATCCATAAATTATCATGTATGTACCTTAAAACAAAGGGGAGAAATGGAGCCTTGTTTCTTGGCGGGAAATGCCTCACTACCTCACTATCTTTGGGAATGGAAATGTAGAATAAAGTAAAAGGAGAATGCGAATCTGCAAAGCTGAGAAGCCTCGCCAATTCTTTCAGCTTATTTATAGATAGAATGGAGAGATCATTTTCAGAGGTTAATAAGTCACACGGTAATTGAGGCTAAAGGTTCGAGTAGTATAGAAATCCATATATTATGGGATTAACAAAGAAAACAAAAAAATGATTTATAATTTCAGAATGTAAATAATCCCACTAATAATTTTTTTAAGTAGATGAAAATAAACAATAAATTTTATTTTAAAATTATTTTTATAATAATATAAATATTACTTTAAAATTGTATTAGCTTTATTCTTAAATTTTTATATAAATTTATATATTAAAAATCTAAAAAAGACCACCCTCTTAGAGATGTTTTTAGTGAAGGATTTAGAAATAATTTTTAAGTAGACATATAATAAAAAAAAATTGTATGAAATAGATACTAATAAAATTTTAAAATAATCATAATTAAATTAATGAATAACAAACATAAAAAAATTATATTTATACGCCTGTACCCATCCTAGTAATAGTATATATACATCCTCCATTGGATGGCTGCGCCATATAGGTGATTAACTTTTTTTAATCTAATTTTCTTTTTTGTAATATTAAAATTAAGATTTAAATATATAAAATGTCCTTCAAAAAAATAATTTTATTAGATAAAAACATGTTATATTTTTAAAATAAAATATCAAGACTTAAAACCTTTGCAGCTTTTTTTCTTTCTTTTACTTTTACCTAAGCCATGGCAGCTGTCTACAGAATGACGTGAACTAAGTATGTAGGCGGTGACTAAAAAAACACATTATTTAAAGTAAAATTTTACTACACTCGATGAATATTGACGATGATTTTTAACGATAAATATTATTAATTTAATTTATAAAAATTTAAAATTTTAAAAGAATTAATATTTTATTTTAAATAATTTATCTTTAGATTTTTAATTAATTTATAATTATTTTTTAGAATTTTAAATTTTTATAAATTAAATTAATAGTGCTCATCGTTAGCGGTACTCAACGGTGCTCATCGAACATAGAAGACTCATCCTTAATTAAATCTAGTATCCAAAACCTATATTTCCATTTTTTCGTATTTTTTTGGTAATTTTCCATTTATTAATTGATTTTTTGAAATAAATATACGAATATAATTATATACTAATATATATCATTATACAATAAATACTAATAAATATTTTTTTGCTCTATTTTCCAATGTGTAAAGAAATCAAATTGATCAACCGCTTTCATCTATTTTTCTCCTAATTCTGTCTTTTAGGTTTCTTATAAAAAATTTGTAAATAACTTTAAATTTATTAATAAATAATTTTGTAAATAACTTTAAATTTATTAATAAATAATTTTGTAAATGTTGAAACATACCTGCCGAGAAATTCTAGAGTGAGAAAATAAAATAAGATTATAACTGGTGAAAATCATAAACATTATTAAACGTATATAAGTATTATAATTATATTCATGAATCAAATTACTTCATTGATTAAATAAATAGTTATTACTTGTAAAAGTTTTAGCTTTACGCATGAGATGCAAGGATATTTAAACTTTTATTGTTAAATAATTGTAAATTTTTAAAATTTATATTACTTTTTAATTATTTTAAATTATTATAATTGTATAAACTCATAAAGTGATCTAATAATAAAATAAAATGTTATTTTTTCCCACAATTGAATTTATAAAATGTGACTACTTATGGAATTCTAGAAGTTGTTGATTAGTTGATAAAATTGATTTCTTGAATTCAATCCGTGAACTTTATTTCAAGTTGTCACCTCCAGCTGTTGCTGTATTGGTGCGTAATATATTTAAATTTAGTAGATTTTAATTTGATTCTACTCATATCTGTCTGGTATAATGTAAAAAAGAATCTTTAAAATTAATTATTTTGATTTTTTAATATTTGAGTCTTTAACTTTTTATTTTAAAGTATAAAGTATTCATAAAAATTATTAGTTAACATATTATTAATACTCCAAAATAAGAATTTTTTAATCTTTCACGTGTCTTTCAAAATAATATAACAAAATTCTCATTTTTAAAAAATAATTTCCTAACTATCCTAAATAAACTAATCTTTTTCCTCATAATATCAACTAAAACAAATTTGCCAATATCATCAAATTTTGAATAAATTTATATTTGTTACTTATTATATAAATAATATAATTTTAAAATTTAATATATATATATATATATATATATATATATAAAACCCATGTCCAAATACGGAGAACATTTAAAAAGGGGAAAAATAATTTCCCTTTCCCAAAAAGGTTAAGTTGAAGCCATCGACCTAATTTCATGGGGCAGCGTGTGAATTGAAATGGAACCTGTCACTGTTTTCTTCTTTCTTTTCATTTTGTCAGAGTTTTGGATCTGGAAATTTAGTTCATTCTTTTTATAATATTATACATAAACAATAATATAGATTTCATTTACAATATATTAATAATTCCAATGAATACGGTAGGTTGATAGGATGATGCTCCTACGGATCAGACTGGTATAATGAGTGAGGCATGTGGTGGTTGTAGTGTAAGGAATTTAAAATATATTTTTCAAATATATTATACTTGTACCTAATACCAAAAGTATTTTTTTATTTAAATATAAAAATATTTTTTTGACAAAATAAAAGCAGTTATTTTTATCAAAATTAAAAAGGGTAAACTATGGAAATAGTCCCTTTTTTAGGGCTTATATGATTTGAGTCCCTTTTGATAGTATCTTATCTATCAATTTTATTACTTTTTGCTAATTCAATTATGGTTTTTCTCAATCATAAACAATACGTTATAATTTTATTTGATCGGTAGTTGTTAAAAAATTAACAAAACTATTAATATAATATTTTTTTTAAAAAATTCAATGATGACATTATATTACCATATGGTGATACGTCATCATCACTGTAAATTTTTTAATAGTAGGTGACCAAAATGAAACAAAAATATAATATTATCTATGATTTTCAAACAAAAAATAATTAAATGACCAAATCATAATAAAAATAATAATTGGAATACTAAATGTGTAGTTTACCCAAAATATAATGGATAAATTACATGTTTAATCATATAATTTTAACGTTATTTATTTTGATCATTTAATTAAAAAATTTAATTCAATCGTTATTATTTTTTAGTTTAATTTCGTTCATTCAGATCGTCCTACGGTTATTTCTTTAATGACATTTTTAAAAAAAATCTAAATTTACAGACTTCATTTTATTCATTGATGAAATAGATTTTTTTCCAAATTCAAGCGGTAGAGAAATTGAGAAGAAGAAAAGAACCAATATATATCGATTTTACATTAATATTGAACAATAAAGATTGCTTATTGAACTAAGATAAAATAAAGTCTTTTTTTTAATTCAACTCAAAAGTTTTTTTAAGTTGTATCGAAATCGAAAAAATTTTAAAAAAATGATATTATGATACTAATCATGTCATAAACGAGGATTGATTATGGTCTAAGTTCGTACTTCCTCATTGATTTTAACATTAATTCTACAATGTCTAATCTCAATGCTACATCAAACTAATTTCATCACCACTATTTTTTAAGGATCATGTTTAATCATTTAAGTCAAGAGTGATACTCCCTACGTCCTTTTAATTGTATTTTATGTATGCACATCGTAACACTCCGATTTTTTCATGTTCGAAATTTAATCAATCAAATATAATTTTTTGATTAAATTATTATTTTAATCGATGTCTAATAATTTTTTTACATTTGAAGGTGTTCGTTTTATTTTCTTCAAAATTAAAATTTTAAACGTGATATTAAAATCTTTACGATTTTTTTTTATATATGTTGAAAGTTTCAAAATTTATATTTAGAATATGGAATGAATATTTGGAATTTGTTTTTAAATTCTAAATTCCAAATCTGAAATGGGTTATTTTAAATACGTGTCATAACCATTTTTTAGGTAAAATAATTAAATATTATTTTAAAAACGGTTACGAATTTTATTTAGAAAAATTGGTGATTTTAGATTAAATTGGGTAGAATTGAAAAGAGTCATCATCAACATTTGGATTAAGTAGGTCGAATACCTAAAAACGTATTTTAAAAATAATTTTAAGAATAATCATTTTTTAAGATAAAAGTTGGTCTGCGTTTACAAAGATTCGATTAAAACGAGTTCGGGAGTTGGTTCACGTGAGGAATGATTAGCACCCAAAATTGGTACTGTGTCGCTCACATATCGTCGTAAATGGTGGAAATAATGAATCGAATATAAAGTTAAAATATGATCAATTTATTAAATATTGATTAATTTGATTCGAATTATTTGTTTAAAAGAAAATCCTTTTATTAGATAAGAGATCTTGAAATTCACAATCCTCCGTTGGAAAAACTATCTCAACTATTTCTCATTCGTAAAAGAATACTCCTTCATTGCTTTGAAAACGTGAATCAAATAAAAAAAATCAACGTTTACATTTACATTAAATAAAATAAATTGTTAGTTAAAACGGCACATATTACATATTAAAATACAAACAAGCTCATTCAGTGATTTAAGGGACCAAAAATGATATCGATGGTAACTTGAAAGACCAAACAACAAAATCAACAATAATTAGACCGACTGTCAAACAATACTAAAATAAAAGATTTAAATATATCATGACTAAAATCAAATATTAACAAAAAATAAATAATACATGAAATCAATAACTAAAATATAAATGAGAAAAAACAAAAATAATTATTGTTTTGTTGGAATATAGTCATAAAGGAATATATGTGGGAACCACTTAATAGACCCTATGGCAATGGATTCCATTTTCGTCAAATTTCTTGAACAAAGCTATGCATAAAACTATTTCCACAATAAAAGTTATGACTTAAGGGAATTAAGATCACATTCCTAACAATAATAATAATGCACATTACTGTTATTTTACCGACATGTATACTACATCTTTCATATTTGTTTTACGATCCATTATT